ACCCTTTTAGCTCAGTGGTGAAGTCACTCCCGAGGTTCACTGTTCAGCCAAAGATTAGACAGCTTCATAAAACAAAACAGGGCTAATGAGGCACAGCAGTTAAGGGACAAAGACAAGAAGGCAGGAGGGGACAGGAAAGCTGGTGATAGGGAACCCAAGGTTGATAAAGGACAGTGTTGACATGTTGTGTGGTTGTTAACCATTGCGATAGGGCAATATGCGTACTGTAATGAGAAACTATTCTGTTCTGCAAACATTCATTTAAAGTACAAAAAAAAAAAGAAAAAGAATTATTTATTTGAGATCAAATTGACAACAGCAACTCAAAAGGTCTGATGGGAAACCTAGGGGGCAGTGAACTGAAGATGGAATAATTTGGAAAAGGATAGTGAGAATAGCCTCACAACGGGAAGAACGTAATTGATGTCACTGAAATGCACGTGTAGAAATTTTTGAAATGGTGTCTTTGGCTATGTATATTTTCATCAAAAAAAGGTCCTCCAAGGTCGAGAAGGGAGAGTTTTGACGTTGTGGGTTTGTTAACCAGTGTCATAAAACAATATGTGTACTGACTGTTTAATGAGAAACTATTTGTTCTGTAAACCTTCACCTAAAGTACAATTAAAAAAAATTTAAAAAATAAAATAAATGGAGAAAAAAAAAATATCAGGGCTTCTTAAGAGTTTTCAGGATAAAGTCTAAGCTTCTGAACATGCAAAAGGTCTGTACTGTCTGGTCTATGTTTTTCTCTCAAGTCTCATCTCTTGCTACTTTCATCCCTTGCTATGAAGCTCCAGTCATATAAAAAGGTTATAACTCCAGAGTGTGTCAGGCTGTTTTCTGATTTTTTCCTAGTAATCCTTTTTTTGCTGATCCTCCTACCTTTGGCATGTTAACTCTTCCTTGTAACTTCTCAATTCAGCTCAGGTGTTATCTCTTCAAGGAAGCCTTTCCTAAAAACCTCATCCATCTCCTCATACCATGCACACCAGCTCTGGGTTAAGTATACTCTGCTTCCTCAGTAAACTTGTAGTAGAGGTCTGATCTTATGGTAGAAATACATATACGCAGATGGTAGGTTTCTTGAAGGGAGAGTCTATGTCTTTTTATTTCCTGTATGTCCAGCATGGTAACTGACCCATAAAATCCACGGCCATTGAGTCAATTCTGACTCATAGGGACCCTACAGGACAGAGTACAACTGGCCCATATGCTTTCCAAGGCTGTAAATCTTGTAAATCCTTTTTTTTAAAAATTGAACTTTAGATGGAGGTTTACAGAACTAGCTTTTCATTAAACATTAGTACATATATTGTTTCATGGCATTGGTTAACAACCCCATGACATGTCAG